AGTTTAGAGAAAACAGTCCTTTAGGTAGTATTCCTGTAGTGAATCCAGTCTGATGTACCCAATTATGAAGAAACAGTGTTTTTTTCTTTTTAATAACCTGGGCGAATAGCATTCCTCTAGCCACTTCTGTCTCCAATGTATGTCTTCAGCTACAGTTGGGTGGAGAAATTCCCAAATTTTTCCTGGGATGGTGCACTGGGAGCAATGCCTGAGCTAGAACTCTCTGCTTCCAGTAAGTGCCTCCAGTGCTCCCACAAAATGGCTTCATCTGTCACCCACTTCCTCCACGTACAACATGGAAGCACCAAACGTGTTATTGCCAAATACTAGAAGCATTGAGAAAATACAGTGAATTTATGATTTCTTTATTTATAGAGTATCTTGTTCTGAAAAAGCACAAGGCTAACTTAGTGTTTGTCTCATCAGTCTCATTCCTAGAAAAATACTACTCCTCTTCACATCATGCCTTAAGGTTGCTGACAGCTTGGATAAAGCCTTTGGTCAGAAGAAAACAATTGAATCCAAAACATTCTGAAGACCTCGAGTGCCATCTAATTGAGAGCTTTCAGTAAAAATGAATTTTGCATCGTGTTTGTTCTTTGACAGAAAATTTGCTTCTTGTGTGATATTTGACATTGACCACTATGCAATTTAATTCTTCATACCTGTCTTTTGATCACTGATTTTTAGGCACAGTCCACTCTCTCATTTGACTACCATGTGCTGCTTTGATCTGAGCTCTCAATAAAAGCCAGTAACGCCAGGCAGGAATGTTTGACTTCATTTCATACTCAGAATTCTCAAGTTCTGAGCAAAATCTCAAAGCCTGGGAAAAATACACAATTGTTCGTGCAGAAAGAGGAGAAAAAACCCACACAGCATTTAACACATTTCCCTTTCAGTGGAAGAAATTAAGGAAATTTTCAGTGGAAGAAAATAAGGAAATTATTTTAGTAGGACAGGTTTTATAAAAAGACACTTTAAGATACTCAAAGCTTGTTTTGTACACTAACTAGTTTTATTCAGTAAATGGAAAACATATTTTCAAATCCTGCAATATTTGAAGTTTTGTTCTGGAGTAACTTCTATCTTCTTCTTAACCTGTGTGTGGAAAGTTGTTTATTTCACAGTTCCTAGAAGTAATGAGACAATTGTGCAGGAGTAACCTTGGAGCTGGAAGTCAGGAAATCCCCTGTTCATCTGTCACTATCTTTGTTATTGACCAACAGATTTAATCCCACTGTTCCAATATGCTTATTTATACCCTGTGAAATGCAGAAAATAGTGAAGGTTGTATAAATCATGTATAAAAGTACTCTCCCTATGTTTCACTATTAGAAGCTGCAGACAAGGAGGATTCAAACTTGTACAATATTTCAGGCTAACTGGAAATAGAATCTTTCTCTCTTTACTTTTATCCCTAGAAAAATGTTATTACTTTCTATTTTATCTCATGATTTTCAATACTTTATATAATTTCATGAGGTCTAAGGCTTAAATCAATTCAAGGAGCTCAGGTATTGACAGATCAAAAGTCTGTGTTGATTACTGTTATGGATTTTTCTAGTTTGTTTCTTCAGTCAATACAATGCCTCTGTTCAACACTTTGGATACTTCAGGATGCCACAGACTTAATAAAGAATGGCTGTTTTAATTTATAAAGTAATGAACCCAGCTCTAATTGCCATGTACCATTGCACAGAACTGCTGCTGAAGCCAAATAAATGATGCGGTGGCCACCCATTTCATTAGCTGCTCTCAGCCTGAGGCAGCAGGGATTCCAACAGTCACCAGGTGTTGCTTGGTCCTTTCTCACACTCCACACCTCCCGAGTGTGCATTGATCAAAAGGATTGTGTTGGTGGAAGTGGCATTCTAGTAGCCACTCTATTATTTCCTCCATTGCTTCTTTCTCAGAAATGTGGTTAGCAAATGAACCTGTCAATATTCCAATATGAGTTTTGGCTGACAATTAACTCACCACTCACCTGATTTCTTACTGCTGTCCAGTTTAGATGAATCACACCCAAGAATGCCTTCTCATTTGCATTGTCATTAAATGGCGTCCAGGTAGCTCATGTCTGCAAGTGTGTACGATGTAGATGTCTACTTTGGGTCAACTGAACTCCTCAGATAGCAGGGCAGCTCCCTAGCTAATGGAGGGAAGGCTCAGGAATCTCAAATGGTGCTTTCTGCACCACACATCATAGCATTCTTCATGTGAATCATAGAATCATAGAATCCTTTAGGTTGGAAGGGACCTTCAAGATCATCAAGTTCAACCATTGAGCCATTAGGGCTCTAAAGTCCTCTGCTAAAACAGATCAGAATCTGTCAGGGTTGGAAGGGACCACAAGGAAGCATTGCTTCCCATCCCACCAACCCACAGGCTGGGGATTAAAGGCACCTCTTTATAAAACAGTCCTACACAACACATTTGCTGTTTCAGTATCTACATTCGTAATCTGAGAGGCACAAAAAAACAGTCTTGTGAAAGACTATGTGAAGAGTCTTCACATAGTCTTGTGAAATATCTCTATGTTCTAAGGCACTAAGTGCCCTCAGCTCTTCAGACATGATCAGTGTTGCCCATGAGTTAATTCTTGGCATCTCCCTATGTTGCAATTTATTTTTGTTAATTCCACTCTTTCTTTGGATTGTATAGTCAGCCAAGTTGCATGTGCCCTGCAAAGGCTAAGTTTTCAGGGCTCTTTTAGCACCAGATGAGTATAACTAAAAGAGATGTTATTAATTTGGTCCTAAATCCCTTTGGTTTTCATTTTAGCAGGAAAGACCTAATACAATTTTCAGCTCAATAATAACACATTAAAGTGCTTCTCAAGTTTTGGACATTACAGAATGTACACAAGATTCAACTGTCCTATAAAGAATGATACAAGGGGTTTAGCATTGAAGAAGAGCACATATATAATTAAAGCAAAGTACATACTATGACGGAGGGGGATAAATATGAGTGATATGATTGTAGCTGCTAGCCTTTGTGCATCACAAAATAGTTTCCTCGAAAGATTTAATTGAGTCACACATTCTAATCTTTAAGTGGTATCCTAAAATATTTTTAATGCTCCTTTACTTTTTTTTTTTTTTTTTTTGCTTCCCATAGCTAAATGAAACAGAAATTTCATGCAGATGCAAGCATATATATTCTTGTCTTACATCTACACAAATGAAGATACTTTCTTTTCTGGAATAGGATGAGCTGGCTCAAGAGTCAGTGGTGTTGCCTGTCTGCTTGGGATGATACACTAGAGGGTAACAGGAAATAAGGAATAAAATAGATACTCTTTCAGAACAGGAAAAGAGTTTGAAAAAAGCCAGAGACTGTGATAGTCCTGAAAAGGTCTTTGAAAGCTGCTTAGAGTCTGACAGCAAACTAGCTTCAAGTGGGAAAGAAGGCTAGACCTGATGTCTACTTTGTTATCTGAAGTCCTCTGTTATCTATAGCTTACTCCTCCCTGCAAGCTGAAGGAACTGAACTGCTAAAATGGTCAATCTGAGAGTCTCCATATAAGTTAACAGCTGTCAATTAAGAGAAGAGCCGTGATCCTAACCATGTATTTGAACGCAGGAGGTGAACACCCACACTCTGGACCCACATGGGAGTGGAAATTAGAAGAAAATTGTTTCCCTTCCATATTTAAGCCAGGTTACATAGGCCTGCGCTTCCCTTACACAGATATGTTTACCACCTGGTAAACTGGTGGTGTTTCTTTAATATATATATACTTCTTTAATATATATAATTCTTTAATATAAGTAATTGCATGACAGCTGATTATTCACTGTGCAAAGACTTTACAGTGACTTTCTCATAAATCGTTTCCTTCAGTTTGCATTTTTGCAAGCTCCTTTCCAACAACGGCACATAGTTGCATGAGAGTCAGAAGCAACTGTAATAACTAAGATAAGAATCAGGAAAATAAATATAATTTCTTTTATATAAGAAATGTTTGTTCCGTATCAGATGAAGCAACAGATGGAACTCCTACCTAAGGAACAACCTCCATACTTCTCGGCACACTTCTTGCTATGTAAGACTTAAGTGATTTCAACCACACATGATTTCACCCACAGCTGATGGACTGTTGGGATAAATTCGCATCACGTGCACTTTGTAAATGAAAGGTGCATTTCCAGCTTGGAGATGGCATTGTATCTAATGATGTTAATGGTAATTGATGAGTTTTAGTGGTTTGTGTCCTACCAAATGCAAAACACCTTTAAAATAGCTCCTTCATTATTATTACAACAGAGATACGTTCAGGTAGCTATTAACATAGCCTGTTAAAATATCTAAGAGGAAAGTGCAGAAGATTAATATTAGGAGAACTTGATAATACTACACTTGCAGCACTGTGTTTCTCTTTTATTGTTATTAGGAAATGTCATTGTTCTGGGGAAATACAAGGAAAAAGCACTTCCCATTAACTAGCATTGCGTTCAAAACAGAGAGGTGGGATATAGTTAGCTTTTAAGTGTATGATAGTCTCCTTTTTGTCCTAGTAATTTCATCTTTCAGTGAAATATTTTTGCTTTTGGTTTGTTTGCTTTCTTATTTGAGAATCAGCCTTTCTGTTTTTCACATGCAACTTAAAAATTATCTCAGAGACACATCAGTCTTGGAGGCTTTTGTATCTTCCATATTTCCTCCAGACAGAAAGAGCACAGCTGAAGAAATAGAGTTTCAGATGGGAAGGTGCAGCACTTGCTTATTGATACTAAAATCTATTCACTCACCAGAATAGTCCCACAGCAATACACATGTGACCTGTCTCAAATCATTTTGGTCATCTGGAGGCAAGGTGGCAGACTCATCTACCCATTTCATTGCCTGATTGGTTTCTGATAGCATTAATTACTTTGCAGCAATTTATTTCCACTAGCAGATGAGGAAGTTTGGATGGTTTTACTATCCTGAGATGTCCATTTAATTGGCTAAAATGGGGTAAAGGAATTCCACCTATGTTCTTAGTGCTATGAGTTCAAGTATTTGGACTTTTAGTATTCACCAAAAGCCAGGCAGGAAGGATATATCCAACAATTTAATTTATATCCAAGTTTAAACTGCTATTAAAAATTACGTATATACCGTAACTATATATAATGACAAGACATAACAATGCTGTTGATATGTCAGATTATACCCTCTTTGTTCACTTCACAGATTAGCAATTATTTATAACTAATAAATAGGTACTAATTAGGCAAGCTGGAAACAAATATTCCAAGCTGAATGCAGCAGGCCATTAAAACACCAGATGTCTTTCCCATGACTATGGAATTAGCTGCAGGTGTTCAAATCAGGATTTTAGGTAAAGAGCCTTCCTCTGGTAAAATCTCCTCTCAGGGGGTTGTAGAGATTGAGAAGGTCTCCCCTGAGCCTCCTTTTCTCCAGGCACTGCTCACCTGCAGCCCACACAGGAGATCTACCAATGACACGAGAGGGTTGCCCAGCAAGAAAGCAAATGAAAGGAAACGGATTCACAAAATGCTGCTATAAAACTGCAAGATCTAT